CCTTGACTTGACTTGACTTGCTTGATTTGTCTTAACTGTGACTTGAGACTTGACTCGAGACTTGACTCGAGACTTGATGGTTAACACTTGAAACTTGCTTGGACTTGATCATATGCGACTTGTCCCCATCTCTGTTAATAAGGTTAGGACTACCTGTAATCAATCCTTATCAATCAAATTTTGGTGATGTATTCCACCTATTTAGGTTTACATGTAAATCTTGAAGAGAGATGGGCACTCCCTTTCCACATTATTAGTGATCAAATAAATGAAGTTTCAAGTTCAGAAGTTAAAAGTGAAATCTTAAGTCAAACAGTTACAACAAAGTAATTTGACAGATAAACCATATGTGCTAGAAATTGAGGAACTGCCGTATCATTTAAATAAATAAATAAATAAATAGATAAATAAATAAATAAATAAATAAGAAAAGAACGAAGAACTATTGTGTGCAATGGATAGGGAAGCACACTTGTAATTGAAAGATTGCAGGTTTGAATCCCTGACCAGCAAGACACCACTGAGGTACCCTGAGCAAGATACTACCCTCAAGCATTGCTCCCCGGGCGCTGAATTAGCTGCCTCCTGCTATGTCATGATGTCACATATAGGTTAAATGCGGAGGACACAATTTGTTGTTGTGCACTGTGTGCTGTGATGTGTCATCAATGATCGTTAAATTCTAAATCTAAATTCTAAAAATAGTGGTGCTAGGTCATTTATGACCACCAAACCCAAAGTGTGACAGAATTCCTAAAAGCAAATCTCTACTACGGCCCTTGGAAATTCAGATTTTCTGTTGCAAATCAAGCTACTTATCAACCTATGGGTATATTTAATTATATAAATATATTAATGTCTGTTGCATGTGCAAGAAAGAGGAATCAGAACTCTGTCCATTTTTCTACTTATCTGACTTGAGATGGACCTTTATTGAGTAAGGATAGAAAGTTTATTGAGAAAGAAAAACACTAAAGAAATATACCAAATTCCACAGTGAATTTAATGTTTTGCAACTTTTTGTTCGAGATTCGTCAGAGAGTACACTGCTCTCATAGTTGAACATTGCATATGATACATGGATTAACATAAATCGAGATAAGACCATAACTCCTTGTTCTTAAGAAACAAAATGCAGTATATGTAATGAATATGCAAACTAAAACCAGTGTGAGTCTACTGAAACAAATATTGCCAGAGAACAAAAAAAAAAAAATCAAAAACACCAAAATAAAAAAACTAAGTAGATCACAGCTTAACAATACCTTAATTTCATATAGTTTTATAGGTACAATTTAATTTAGATTTAAATGCCAATCAAAAGTATGTTTTCCAACACATCTGGATAAGTAAACAGTTCCTATGACAAAGAACAAGCTGGAATACTTACAGAGCCATCATAACTTTCTGAGCTAGTTGAAGAGGAATCATCACCTGAACCTACAAAATTATATTATTTACATTATAAAGTAAACATGCAAAGATATATAATAATAAACATAATGACTCAAATAATAAAAGTAATATATATTTTAACTCATGGTTACCTTTATCACCTCCAGTTGTTCTGAAAGGAGTGGGATGATTATGGAGGCCGGAGGCAGGGCACCCATCCAAAGATGGCACATTTCTCATGGCTCTCATTTGGATATTGTTTCCATTCTTAAGGTAATTAGTAGTTTCTAAAATATAAGCCACTCATTAAAAGTCCTGGCAACCAATGTAAATTGTAAGAATATGAAAGTAGTTATTTCTAAATTTATAATCACACCTAATTAACATATAACATTAATGAGAGTTATGAAAATTAAATCGTTTTCAATATTATTAAACTTGTCACATAACTCACCACTGCAATCTGCAAGTTTTCTTCTAACTAGTACTGCAAAAAGGACTATAATTATGAAGATTAGAATGGCTATGATAGCATATAAAATGTTAGATGGGCTGGAACAAAGAGAAACAAATGACACTTTAACTAAATCGCAAGCATTCTTCAGCATCTATGACCATTATAAAAAAAAAATGTAATTAAAAATCAGCACTAGATTTTTTAATAATGAATGTCACTATTCCTATTACCTTATCAACAGTTGATTCATTGCCAGTCTAAATTTGTGGTATATCTACTTGTAAAATAGTATTTTGAGTACAGCTGTATTCATGTATTCATGACTTTATTGTAATAAAATTATACATAACTATTTTCTTAAGATTTTATATTTATTAATTGTCAGACCTTTTCAGATGCATATCAGGGATTCCTCCTGAAGTAGGCACTAAAAAAAATATATATATATAAACACATGCAATTTAGTATTTTCCCAGGGCAAGTGACTGCACCTGTATCGACAAAAGGCCAGAAGGATGAACATAATACACACAAACACACTACACAAGCAAGCATGTATTATGGACATTTTAGACTAGGGTGTCACAACCTTAATAATACGGGCCAGGTGGCAACTCTACCCCCAGTATTCTGAGGTAGAATACTGGTCATGGTTGGGAACCCCTACTTTAGAGAAACCACATAACATATTAAGACAGATCAATGGGGCTTGGGGTACAGAGTATATAAACAACATATTCTTTTAATCTATACATAAACTATGAAACTTTGTGGCAGACATATGTTTTCCACCAACTCGTGATTCGCTAAAGTAATTTTATGATTATAAACATAAGCACACAGAATAACTGTAGACAGGAGCCAATTAATACATACTGTAAGCCATCCTATGCTATAGCCTGGGGTGCCAGGAAATATTGGGGCCCTGCCCCATGTTGGAAAACTGGAACAGTTAATCTAATTCTGGCCACTCAATCTGCCAGGACCCACCCAATTGGCAAGTGTTGCTGGCAGCCCATCCCCCCCTTCCGCCTGACAAGCATTATAATCAGCACCTCTTGCACTGATTAATAAATTTGGGATGTTTCATTGTTTCTAATTCTGTCTTCTTTGTCTTTCTACACAAATAATATCTTAAATCACGCTAAACGTGTTACTTCAGTAGCAAAATGTATTAGATTAGATCATTTAGAAACTAAGACAGTCATGTGAGTTTTTTATTTCCACCTCATCTAAGTTTTTTGAGCTAGGGAGTACTACCAAATGACAACATGAAAAAGTACATCAAAACAAAAAAAGTACAACAAATATTTAACCTTTACATCTTAGTAATAATTCATTGTGTAATAATTTTACAGGTAAAAGTTTATTAATGCCATAGATAGAGACAAAGCTATACTGGAGACATAAAATCATTTCCGTATTCTAATTCAGCATTCAGCCATTTTGTTTGGTGTCCAACCGACATTTTGTTATGTATAATTATCGTTAACTAGATTTTAAAGCCTTATGGTTAAATGAAACATAAATTTGTACAATACCTATTAACAGGGCAGTATTTCTTAAATATAGACATATACTTTTAAATACAGATTTTATCCTTAACCTAATGTAATGCACCGAAAATGGGAGAAATAAAGAAAAAATGGATAGATAGATAGATAGATAGATCGATAGAGAGAGATAGGTAGATGCCCTTTTCAATCGTCAGAGATGTAAAATAAAAAAAAACTTTTCTTAATCACTGCTTCAAGTTAACAAAGTGCTTCTTATATTCAAATAATACTCATTAGAATTATACAATATATGTGTGCCAAAGTCAAACCTCTTCAAAGTCTGATGTTTCATAGTTGAAAATGATGTCTACAGCCCATTAGCTTATCAATTTCAAAAAGTCTTACTTTCTGAAGTAGTGGTACTGGTATTCATCTTCTACCCAGAAACCCAGGTGGGTGAACTCTTCAGTTTCCAATGAATACAGTCGTGCTACTTGACTTGTTTAAAATAATGACAAAATCTGCAACAGTCCCACGTGGATAAATGCAACATGATGCACTGGAAGATAAACATCAGCACTGCCTACATGTGGTAAGTGGTGACTTCCTACTTAACCGGTAAAAATTATGCAGAAAGAGAACATTAAGATATATTCATATTCACTTTACAGTTATTTAATATTTACTTTAATGATATTTACTTGAATGATTTAGCACACTGATGAATATCCACCCTCAACAGTGAGGCAAAAAATACACTGGCAGTTAATAATATTCATTATATTGAAATTGATAAAATTGCATCAGGTTATATTATGTGTTTAATTAGAATCGATTGTCTACAATAGTTTTATTCTAAACCTAATCCAGGTCTAATTATGAATTATACTGTCAGACTTACGTATTGTTTTTGCCCATTTTGTTACCGTATTGTGTCTCGTAATTATCCTGCCCTGATTGCCCTCATATGTTACACCTGTGTTTTACCCTTTATACAGTATGTAAGGGCTTAGGCTGAGCATTTGTCATGTCTGTCACTGTAGGTGCTGTGGTGTATGCAGTTGCTAGCAAAGGGGGAATACTTGCTTAATGCACACTATACTCTTCATAAAGAATAAGAACAACAGAACCATTTAATCATTCTATACAAATAAATAAAAATATATTCACATTATTTCCATTTTTTAATCTTCTGGTCAAATCTAGGTCATTCTTGCCTTAGTTATGGATGCTAAGAATAAAGAAAAATTATGCAGTGTAAAGACTGTATGTATATACATGCAAGAATTTCCTTTGCTTCTGTAAACTGTATCAATTTTTAAATAATTGTACCTTTAGTATATATTTTTGAAGAATTCACTTTTTATTTCTCTACTGATGAAAATGTATTAACTTTATTTATATTGAAAGGGTGTCTCATTGGCCTTACTGGATAAAAACTTAAGACCATCTCTTCCAAGTAAATTACACTCAGCAATAAACTCACACACAGTTTTTGTTTGTATGCAACATAATTTGCTTTACCTTCAATGCAGTGGTAATGTAAAGGAATTTAAACTATATAAATAAATATAATTGCTAAGAAGTGCAGAACTCCACAGCACAATAAATTGCCATGCATGAGCCAGAGATCTTTAGATGTGACAAGGCTCACTTTCCATAGCGCAGGCCAAAAGAGTTCCAGTTGTAAGAGGAAAGGTTTTGCTGTTTCTTAGCCTTGATGTGTGCCATCTCTGGGTACCACCAAGTCCTTCTGTGAAAACGTGCTCCCATGAATGAGTGGCTGAGCTGCAAGGGCATGGGGCTGGACAACACTGTGGGTGGGGGGCCAGTGGTTGAAGCAGCATCCAAGACCTTTAAGACCTTTAGGAAAGCCAGCTTAGGGCTCTCATCTGTACAGAAGGACATGTGAAACAAAGAACAGTCAATTGTATGACTACTCAAAATAACTTTGCAACACTGTATATGAATTTATAAAAGATAACAAAGTTAGTTAGAATTGTAGTTATTTTTGCCCAAACATTTTAATGTGTCCCACTTTTGAGGTCCATCCAGTGGCTCTTTTTGAGCCCCATCCCCTGCCCCCTCTCCTGGGGCACCAAACTGAGCAACCCCCCCATCAATATGTCAGGAACGGTCTGGAGAACAGAAGAAATCTTTTCTTTTTATTATTGTATTACTGTTCATTGGTATATATTTCTGAGCCAATATACATCAGGACCAGTCCACTGCCACTGCACATATCTCATTAGCATAACTATATGTGTTAATAAATATATGTGACCGATCTTTTTCAAACATTGCAGACACATTGTATAGGTGAAGATTTAGAAATTAGGACATTTTTGAGGACCACATGAAACTGAACCTGCGGGGGGAGTGTGGGTGTGGGTGGGGGGGATACAGATAAATGTAGAGGTTGTGGGAACTATAATTGTAATAGTACCTAGTTTTCTTTGGTTAGTACTGTATTGTATGTTGTACAAGATTTTTTATTTTTTTTACAGAGCGTGGAACAGTCATGATCAACCCAAGACCACAAATCAGGGGCATACCTTTATTCAATTGGAGAGAACCACTGGGGTAGGCCTCCCGAAGGCCAGCAGCCAGCATCAGCAGCATGGTTGGAAAAAGCATACTGGAGTTCATGATGGAGTCGAAGTGACAACCAGCCCACAGAGCAGAGGTAATCTGCAGAAGACAGAAGAGAGGCATCACTCTGATTTGTATCTCTTTTCCAATAAGGCAAAATAATATTATAATATAACAGTCCCAGGTAGCAGTGTGAATTCCAGCTCTCAACAAATCTAGAATAAAAAAACTTAATTTTATAAAAGATTATAAGAACATAAGAACATAAGAACTATACAAACGAGAGGAGGCCATTCGGCCCATCGAGCTCGCTTGGGGAGAACTTAACTAATAGCTCAGAGTTGTTAAAATCT